CAAGTTATATTTCCGTTACAATTAGTAACCGGTGGGCCTAGTATCAATTTCGACCAAATCGGTACTGTAAAACCCACTACTCTCTGGCTCAGTTATTATGTTATGACCTACTGTTACTGAAACGAAACTACATTTCCGTCAGCAACGGCATGCAATTAGCAATCAGTTGGTCCACTATCAATCAGCCAAAATGAACAGCATAATTTCGACTAATGCTTGACGGCAAAACCCACAACAAAGCGAAATTAAACCGGAATTAAATGAAATGAATTGGGGTTTAACGTCCTACCGTTCTGCTCCTACGACACACAGTATGCTACGAGGAGGAGGGAGAGAGAGAGAGAGAGAGGGGGATGGGGTTTAACGTCTACTCGACACAAACTAGGTAATTTCGGGACTAACATATGGTTCAATTTTATTTCAATAATTCGCTTGCGCGTAGGAGTCTTTGGCAGTGGGAGGAAACCGGAGGATCCGAAGAAAACCACCGAGTTTGTACAGGCGACCCTACTCCTTATCACGTACAACCAGGGAATCGAACCACGCCAGTTGACTCTATGACAGACTTTATGATACAGCACGCATGCGCTAACCATTCGCAATGGTGTTGTTTCGTCTGAAATTTACAAGAAAATAATAAAACACTTGATACCACCGAGAAATTTCAATTAGTAGCGATATCCGTTTATTTCATTAGGAACCCGGACATGCGGATTATATTCGAAGTATATCAGATTATATTCGAAGTATGAGAATTGTGCTAGGTCATATACATGTATGTATTAAACTGAAAAGATCACCAATCAAGTGAACTAACGGAGCCAAACTAGACACCACCATTATCAGGGAATTAATTTTATATTACGCTTGGTCGCCCTTTAAGATGAGATTCCACACATGTCTACACTGCTTATCGCCCTGTAATGAGTTTCCTATTTTCTGGAAGCTTTTATAATTGGTCAAATTTGGCAAGATATCTAAATCATGGATTTACAGACTGACTATACGTTATACAAAATTTACTTATATTGTAAGATGGCTATGGTTTAAATATTAATGATATTAAAAGCTGATGTTTTTTTAAATCAATGTATAAAACATATTTAACATATTAAATTGAAATTTAAAATGTAAGACGAGAATCTGACCAATTCGAATATTTTGTCAGTGATGAAGTGTGAAACGAGAAGTAAATCCTCTGTTGGCCTGGTAACAGACTCAAACAAACGAGCGTACTCTCTTATTTGAAAACGCTATAAATGTGATGTTTGTAATAAATATCTCTGAAAGTAATTTATACAGAAGAATGCATATTGGTGCACTAAACAATTCTCAATGAGAGCAATTATTTAGTGATAAATGTTTTAAAACCTGGTCTACAGAGATAAACCTAGCTCAGTAATTGTATGAAATTGTTTCCTGTGTATTTCCTGTTTAATTAATAAATGCTATTGAAACAGTTCATTATAAAAAAACATATTTGTTCTTTGTAATAAAATGAATCGTTGCGAAGTGTTCAATGAAATGTGTTTTAACGTCTTACTGTTCTGCACCGACTAGGCTAATGAAGACGGGCATACGTCATACAGTGTGCTTTGAAGGAAATTTTGCCTGGACAGCGGGCCTACGGCCTACTCTTATTTCTAATTCCAACTGTCAATTGTTTCTTTTACGTGGACGTCAATGCGTATACGGAACCTCGGTTTTTCGTCCATTTTCAGGTCCGCACCACTGCCAAGGGTGTCTGTGTGTGTTTGGGGGGGGGGGGCACTGGAAACCCCGATGAACTTTCTCGGCCCACACTAAGCCACTCCTGTTTTAATAAACATATTAAACGTGATAAAGTATACCTAGCAGTAAATGATAATTCTAGCAGGGAACATATGAAATTACTAACTCCTAAGTGTCTAATAGATCTTATGAGTGGTCACGTGAGAAGTCATACTCATACTCTACAACAACCATACAAATATGATGTTTATTATACATCATTTACTTAAAGCTGTTCCCTAAAGAACTAAAATTGAAATGGGGTTTAAAGTCCCACTGTTCTGCCCCGACTGGGATAATGAAGACGGACATACGGCATACAGTGTGCTATGAGGGAAATATTTCCCGGACAGCGTCGCTACGGTCTCCTCTTATATCGAATTCCAACTGTCAAAGGATCTTTTTTTATTTGCACGCCAATGTGTACACGGGACCTCGGTTTTTCATACCATCCGAACGACTGGGCAGCTGTCCTTGTCAGATCCTCCACCCTGCACCACTGACAAGGGGGAATCCACGCTGGAAAATCCCGATGAAATTTCTCAGGCAACACCAGTATCGAACCCGCGACCTCCAGGCTAGGGAGCGTCTTACTCACTTAGCCACCGTGGCTCCCGCTCCCTAAAGAGGCACACCGGTTGAAAACGCATCAATGAGCTAGACTAAAATGGTTCTAAGAGCCTTTCACGCAGCATTAATCAGTTTTAGTGCATGAAATATATTTATGGGATTACGCCATAAAGACAAAATATAGTCATTTAACTTGATATCACATTCAAAATATATGGGCATATATAAATTACAATAGATTTATATGACGCAATGCCAAACCTAGTGTTATACAAACTTAATGTCAGTTGAATGTTTGGTCTACTGCGTACTCGGCGTTTCCTTTTCATCAATAAAACGTCGTTTATTTGATAGAAATATGCGACACAAAAATTGAAATTTAGGAGATTATAACAGAATATTTGGTCTACTGAACAATAAATCACTTGATGTTTTCTTCTCATTACAAAAACATCGTTTATAGCCAGTCAGCTTTAGAGAACTTGTTTAGATTTTCTATCCTTAACTGTATAATAGTCTGACATGAGATGATAAACCTGGAATCAAGACCTCTCCCACTTCTTTTCTTATTCTCATCTCTTAATTATCAGTATTCTGAGCTTCACCTGCTACTTGTTGGTCTAGACTACTACAATAACACACTGCCTGTCAATAGGCTATCCACAAGCTACGCTTTAAGCGCTCTATGAATAAAACTTGGTCTACACGGGAAGAAAAATAAGATTGGAAATTAGTCCAAAAAACCAAAAGTCAACCGTTCTATTCACTATCCACCAGTTTCTACCCGGGGCACTCAACAAACCGCATGGTTCTGCTTTTTAACGGTAAATGTTTGGCGAATGTTTTCATGAAGAAGATAGGATTGGGTGACTTCCGGCAAACATCTCTACACTTTAACTGTGGTTAAATTTCCAAATACGATTTTAGATTCTTTTCAAATAAATCTTTTGTAACCATCTTGTACTTTTCTTTATCTAGAACCTAGGATATGCTATCGATCAAAGTTTGTGTGAGATATGCTTCAGGTCAAACTTATTCCAATTACCCCATCAATTCTACTGACAACAAGAAATATGTGTGAATATTAGAATTCTGATTAAAGTCGTGATTCTTTAAACATCGAAGAGGAAACTTAATAATTTGATAATGTAAATTCATTTGTAAAGGTACCAACTTACAATCAATGAAGGCATCGACAAAATCAACATGCAAAATGAAAAACTCGTCAGCTGGAAGACGACTGTTTACACCGTCAGTTATTTTTTTCGAGAAGTGAATGTGCTTATTTAGAAACCGATTTACAACCATATGTTTATATAGAAATGAGAACGTCAAATGTCCATCTCCGTTATCCCGGTCGGTGCAAAAAGTAGGACGTTAAACCCCATTTCATTGTGTCAAGTCCGCAAAATGTTGATAGTGTATTTACCATAACGGATTGGCAGCAATAACTATACTAATATTTGTGACTGTCGTTTGTTTATCTGTCTACCTGTCCAGGGTTGGCGGCTACACTAGAGATGTCCCGAGGCTGAAATTTGGTGTATAGGGGTAGCTTGGACCGAGGACTAACATAGGCCTGGTAGTGATGGACTGTCACTTAAAATTTCGAAGTTATTCTACACGGAGTAAACTGTTAGTTTGTATATATACATCTATATGCAAACTTTTTAAAATGATCGCGCGCGCTGTATCATAAGGTGTGTCATTGAGTCAACTGGCGTGGTTTCGATTCCCAATTGTACGTGACAAGGAGTAGGGTCGCCTGCCCAACCCCGTTGGCTTTCTCCGGGTCTCCCCCCCCCCCCATACACACACACTGCTAAAGATCTCTACGCGCAAGGGAATTATTGAAATAAAAGTGAACCGTATGTTAGTCCCGAAATGGTCTAGTTTGTGTCAAGTGGACGTTAAAATTGAGTAAAGCGCTAACTGCTGGTACCGGTTTCCATCCCTATGTTTGAGAGGAAACTATAAAGTTCCTCGTGATTTTCAATCGTGCCCCCCCACCCCCTCTCCCATCAGTGGTGCAGTTCAAAGGATCTGGCAAGCCATCGTCCACTGTGCGCGAAAATTTCCCTTATAGCTAATTACATGACGTATGCTCGTCTTCATCCGCCCGGAAAGAGCAGAAAAGTAGGACGTTAAATCCAATTTCATTTACGTGTAATGTTACACTATTTTGAGGCGTATCGGTTTAGACAGCTTACACTACTGCTGCCAGCCAAATAACCACCATGATCTAATCTAGCTTTGCGTTTAAACAAAATAGCATTTTATTTGTGAAATCCACAATTGGAGTTGTTGTTAAATACAGATATCAACCAAAAATCCCTGACATTTTTACTTCAGATTAATGAGAGACTGACATTTAAGTGAACGTAATGTTCGTTCACCTGATTTGCATTTATCACATCTCAAATGGCTCTATTTTTATGTCCTGTTATGAAACCAAGCATTGTTATCGATATAACATATTATTTATAGTTATAACCTTATGAATTTTATAAAGAAAGAAAAGAAGTTCGTTGTACATTTCGCCAGTTTATGCCATCATTAAATACCGTTTCCCCAGACTCTGTAATTACATAAAATCTTTATAAATCTAAAAGATGTCAATTGGGTGAATTTGTATGTATTGAATAACAACAAACTATAAGAATGGAGGGTATATTTAATATATTATGACCAGTAACCATCGTACTACAGCACAATTTAATGATTCTAAAGAAGGCAAACCGCTATAAAAATACCCATAAATCTTCGTTTTATACCATAAACGGTGTTATTTGGGATTTTATCTAGTTTTAACAACTTTATGTCTTAAAACTCTAATGGAAGTTGTCTGTTATTAACCATTGTTACAGCCATAATAAAATATAATTTGAGACTTGAATAGGTTATGTGATATTTATAGGTATTATCAAGCAAACCAGAAATGTTACAACCAGCGTCTGTATGGTAATCTAGTAGCGATTAAAGGCGGGAGTCACTGGTGGTTCGGTATGTGTGGAGATGGTTCACTAACCAAGATGTACCTGGTTCCTCCGGATTTTCCAGTCTAGGTTGACCTGATCAGCGGTACAGCATGACAACCGAGGTCCTGTGCGTACCGTTGGTAGCACGTTAAGGATGACCCTGGTACTATCCCGGTGTTGACCGAGAAGAGTTCCCCGGGAGTGACGAACACGGAGGTGCTACCGTTGACAGCATGTTACGTATCTCCTATCGGATGGGATTGGAAAAAAGAATAGAGTAGTGTACTACGCCACTGGCATTGTTAAAATTGCCACATAGCACACTGCATGGCCGAGAAGAGTTCCCCGGTTGTGACGAACACGGAGGTGCTCCCGTTGACAGCATGTTACGTATCTCCTACCAGATGGGGTTGGAAAAATAGTGCAGTGTACTACGTCATTGCCACTGTTAAAATTGTCACACAGCACACTGCATGGCGTATGCCCGTCTTCATTATCCCGGTTGGTGCAGAAACTAAAATGTAAATAACATAATAGCATTACAATTGTGCCTTTAAGATGTAGGGCAACTTCGTGTTTTGATACGAACTAATTAGGGACTTTGTGTTTGCTGACAATCTATGTTCTGTTTGGTTGTTTTGGGTGCATGCTTTTAAATATATGCCATTAGATGTAGTTTCGTGAATAGATCAGATAGTCCATCGAAGTCGCGGTTGGGTGTTCCCTCTCCCAGTCTGACTATCACGCCAATCTGTTGTTCATCGTATTACAGACCATGATGGTGAGCTGAAAGAATTTTATGGGTCCAGCCTTAGCATCATCACCATATGTCAAGATTGACAAAAAGTCTTTAAATATCAATTATTGTCTTTGGTACGGTGCGATGAATTCATCAACATTCATCTACAGTATTTATAAATAGAATCTTACCCTAATAAATTAATCAACATAAACGTACAATACATATCATATGTATATATGAAATGTCTTCTTCCAACACATTTACATAATTTATTTTAAACGATAGCAGAAAAACTATGATCAATATACAAAAACAATTATACCCCGAATATCTACTTCATAGAAAATATGCATTAATAAATTATTTAACATAAAAACAATGTTATGTATATTTTACATCTATGTAAATATCTTCTACTTGCAAATTTATATACTTCTTTTACAAAAACATAATTATATTACGATTATCGTTATAATATACTGAAGTGATAAAATATATACATATTTATAAAATGTACAAATATTTCTTTTATCAGTTTATATTGCCAGTGTTCACTACAAATTTGATTAGTGTATCTAGCAGGTTTCTACTCCTTTAATGTATCATCTATCATCGTATTTAACAAATTTTATCAGCGTAAAGCACGTTTCTAGTCTACAAATTTTAACATCGTTGAGCACGTTTCCTGCTCTACATACACGTGCGCGTTGTACCATAAAGTCTGTCATTGAGTCAACTGGCGTGGTTTCGATTCCCCAGTTGTACGTGGCAAGGAGTATGGTCGCCTGTCCAACCTCGTGGGTTTTCTCCAAGCATCCGGTTTCCTCCCACTGCTAAAGACCCCTACGCGCAAGCGAATTATGGAAATAAAATTGAACCATGTCCCGAAATGACCTAGTTTGTGTCGAGTGGACGTTAAACCCCATTTCTCTCTCTCTCTGCTCTACATAATCTAACTGTTTGAAAGAGAAAAACACTCGACTCGCATATAAAAATAATTAAATAAAATATATTTCATAATCAACTGGTAACGTAAAGATCCCCTTCTGACAGTTGTTCATTATGTTTTTCATTTCGATGTTTCTCTAAGCCACGATTGGTAGTATATGACCTACTACAGATATCACATGGATAAAGCTTGTCCCTCGTGTGAATTTCCATGTGCCTCTGTTTATCATATTTAGTAATAAATGCTTTCTTACAAACATCACATTTAAAAGGCCTTTCACCCGTGTGGATCATGATGTGTTTTTCCAGACACCTTTTTTCAGCAAACGATTTTTCACAAATGTCGCATCTAAATGGTTTTTCCCCGGTATGAGTTCGTATATGTCTTTTTAGAATTCCTCCTTGCGTAAATGACATACCACAAACTTTACATTTATAGGGTTTAACGCCATTGTGAATTCGCATATGGGTCGTTAAGTTGCTGGTTTCAATAAATGATTTACCACATACATCACATTCATATGGTCGGTCGCCATTGTGGACCCTCATGTGAACCTGAAGTTGTGCGTAACTTGAGTATGGCTTATTGCAAACTTCACATTTACAAGGGTTGGATGCTGAATGTAGTTTGACGTGTGCGTTAAAAGAACTCTTAATTAGATATGATTTATGACAAATGTCACATATGAATGGATCCACGTCAGTATGTGTGTCGACGTGTGCTTTTAACTCGGTTTTCGTAACAAATGCTTCAGTACAAAAATCACATTTATAGGGACATTCACCTTTATGAACAATGTTTATATGCTTGCTCAACTTGTATCTGGTAGAAAATGATTTGGTACAATATCTACAATAGGATTTCTCCCCCGTATGAAGCATTATATGTTTTGTTAGGGAGTGGTTGTCACTAAATGATTTACCGCAAACCTCACATTTAAAAGGCTTCTCTCCACTATGTAACATGATGTGCTTCTGTTGTTGATATTGAGAGCTAAATGCTTTATCACAAACATCGCATTTATAAGGTTTTGCTCCTGTGTGAATTCTGGTGTGTCTCTTTAGATGGTCATTAGTCCTAAATGATTTGTTGCAAATATCACATTGATGAGCCCTTTCTCCGGTGTGAATTTTCATGTGTTTTAGTAAGGCACTACGCTGGGTAAAATATTTACTACAGACTTCACACTTATGGGGTTTTTCGCCAGTATGAACTACCATATGAATCTCGACCATACTTCTTTGTCTAAACCATTTAGAACAAATATCACATTTAAATCCGTTCTCTTTTTTCTTCACTCTTGTTTCGGTTACGGGTGTACTAAACGGTTCCACGGGTGTACTAAACGCTTCCACGGGTGTACTAAATGGTTCAACGGGTGTATCTGGTGGCTCTACTGACTTAACATACGGTTCTACAGGTTCCGATGATGTACCAGAGTCCTCGAACAGTTTACTAGTTATGTTGAAGGCTACAGTCAAGGCCAGGTCCAAGGAATCTGGTTTAATATCCTCTTCCATTGAAAGTGGTTAGAGTCACGGCTGTGGAAATAATATAAATAATTTAATCAATATTAAAATAGTGCCATGTTGTTGAATAATTCCATAAAAAAATATAAACATTTATACAATATAAAGTCGATTGTACCTAAAAGCGTATTTATCATTTGCCAAAGTGAGGCTTTCACACCCCCTCCCCACCCACCCTTAACACACAGACACACACACACACCACGGTGTACTACTACCACCAGAGGAGTTGGGTGCTCAAGTGGTCTAACACATGCGCTTTAGATCAAAAGGTCTGTCGTTAAGTCAAATGGCATTTTTGCAATCCCAATGTAGGTTACAATGAGTAGGATGGTCGACCCAACCTCGTGGGTTTTCTCGGAGTCTCGCCACTGCTAAAGACACCTACGTGCAATTGAATTGCAGATATGAGTCTTGTACCATATGTTAGTTCCGAGATGACCTTTTTTTGTCGAGTGGACATTAAAGTCCATTTCTCTCTCTATCACTACTATTATTATTTTAAGGATATCACTAAGTCTCGTCTTGGCCATACCTTTCGTTATTGTTAAAACAAGCCAGCAGTGAGGCTGATATCCCCCGCCGATTTCCCAAAATAAATACATGTAGATGACACATATTAATTAATCGCACATTTATTTTTTTTTCAAAGGTATCGAGCAATCAAACTACTATACACTAAGTTTCATGATATAATAAATCTATCTTCAGAGTTTCATCGCTCTCACTTCACTATAACCAATCATACTGCTTATTTCTGCTTATCATAAGCAGACAGTGTTCATCATCGAACTCCGTCAAGGCTTTCACCTAATTAACGCCTACACCACGTTTGAACATTCTACCTCAATTAGAAGGAGAGTTATTGTGTTTCAAAGTCTCGGCAAATCAAACTGCTTATCGCTCTGCTTATCCTGAGCAGAAAATGCTCACTATCGAACTTAGTCAAGGTATTGATGTAATGAAACTATACACCAAGTTGCATCACTCTCACTTAATTAGAACTAAAGTTATTGTGTCCCAAAGCATCAACCAATCAAATTGCTTATCTCTGCTTACCCTAAGCAGAAAATGTTCATCTTCGAATTCCATCAAGGCATTGACCGAATAAACACCCACACCAAGTTTGAACATTCTAGCTCAATTAGAAAGAGAGTTATTGTGTCCCAAAAAGTGCGACGGACAGACAGACTGAAGGACGGACGGACAGACAGACGGACGAACCCATTTTAATAGTCCCCTGCTTTCTTCGAAATGCGGGGGACAATAAGCAACAGACCCCCCAAAAGAGTACTATATATGGCACTACATTTTTACCTAAGTTATGGCAAGTAGTAACATCGTCATTGTAACCCGGTCGGCTCTCTATCGGCGATTCGAAATAAAGAGAGTCTAAGGCTTACATGCACTTCTGGGATTAAAATACCATATTGTACACACACTGTGGTTTAATGTGGACTGGCTTACTTGTCTATAACAACAAGCCATACATAATGCCCTTGTTGCGCATGACTTAAACTAGGTTCCCGTCTGTACAACAACACACACGGTTATTGATCTATCCTATACAGTGTTTCTCTCTATACTGGGTTGGCACAGATATAAATACTTATACGCTCTATAGTTACCTCAAATGAATACGAAGCAGGGGTTTTACAACAAATACATAATATAATATTTAACACTACCAGACAAGTCATAGGATTCTTCTCTTTAAAACACAGACGTTAAAGCTATCAAAATACAACAACAAACATGGGGGCTGTGTAAAAAGCGCCACCTAACGTGATTCTCGCTTGGATACCAACATCTGACGAGAATCTCGTTATTAAGCCTTGGGCCATTCACTGTAAATAATTGTCTACGATATCACCCTTGGTGGAAGTGGACGTAAAACTATATGAATGAAGGAACGAACTGAAAATATGGCATTCTTAATTCGATACACATTTTACTAAATTACATTTAGCACGGGAAAGTGATGACGAAAATATTATTAGAATATAACAACCATCATCATTGGGAAGCCCCGGTGGCTCAGTGAGTAAGAGGTTGGCTCGCTATCCAGGAGGTTTCGGGATCGCTCCCAGCATTGGCCGAGTTAGTTCCTCGTGATTTTCAGAATGGTTTCCTAGTCAGTGATTCAGGATTCAGACAAGGAGCAGGGTCTAGTTGTTCGGTGTGACAAAAACAGATGTCCCGTGTACACATAGGCTTGCGCGCCAAAAAACCCTTGACAGTTGGAATTCGAAATAAAGAGAACGGTTACAAATTTCCCTCATAACACAGTGCACGATTGGAATGAACTACCTCCCAATGTTAAAGATTCCTCTTCACTTAAAACATTTACACAGCATCTTTCCAAACATAATAAACAAGCCCCCTTATACTTCTACTTTGGCAATCGCTCAGTAAATGTCGTCCATACAACACATAGACATGGTAAAAGCGCACTAAATTATCATAAATTTCTAATGCATGTATCCGAAAATCCTTCACGTAAGCGTGGCTACTACATGGAAAATACAGAACACCTTTTCTTCTTTTTTTTTTTGCCCACTGTACAAGGAAGAACGAATCCGTACCATCGATGATCTCCCCTACCATTTCCGCAATATTTCAGCAATTCTTGACGGAAACCCGAACGTAAACGATTGTGAGAACCAGGCCTGTTTTGAAATTGTTCATTCGTGTATTAGTGCTACAAGACGATTCAAACTGATAAAGTAGTGATGTAATCGATTAAAACCCCTAAACTACCCCCCCCCCATCCCCCGCCCCGCCCCGCGGATGAGGACACACGATGAAAATAATGATGCCACGGTGACAGTAATGACACGATATTATACTTTTTTTTACGTAATATATTATAATTTTCATGCACATTAGACATGCCAATTTTATTTTATTTTGACGGATTAATATAAGCTTTATAGCTTGTTTCCCAATCCAAATAAATTATTATGTATTGTATATAGTATGTACTATATGGTAAATAAATATTGTTTAAACCATAACACATTGTGTGATAGTCAGTGCAGAAAAGCAAGACTTAAATCCGATTTCATTTCATATTATACAGAAATTGGATTACATATTGGAAACGAAAGGCTTCTTTTGTGATCACTTATGCAATTATATGGATTAGATATGCTATAATTATGGTATTGTGGACGATTGGGTGGTCTAGTGGTTTAACGCGTGCGCGTGAAATCACAATGTCTTGTCATTGAGTCATGGTTTCGAGTCCCAGTTTGAACCTGATAAGGAGCAGGGTCACCTGTCCAACCGCGTGGGTATTCTCTAGGTCCTCCGATTATCTCCCATTGCTAAAGACCCTCACGTTGAAATAAAATTGAACCATGTGTTAGTCCCAAAATGACCTAGTTTGTGTCGAGTGGGCGTTACCCCCCCCCCCCCCCCGCGGTATTGTGAGGTATGTGTAATGAATGCCAGACAAAGATTACAGAACGTGGCCCATTTCATCTGTTATTTATTAAAATCTTTAATTTGCACGCTTGTATGTTTAAGAATAATTTTGCTAGGACCGAGACATGTCCACCTATCCTGCTACGAATTTTATCTATCGGGTGGAGATAGGGGTCATTTACATAAATTTGTAAACAAATAAACAAATATGGACACGGGCATACACCACACAAAGAGCTATGAGGGAAATTTTGCCCGGGCAGCGGCATTACGGCTTACTCTTATATTGAATTCCAACTGTTAAGTGTTCTTTTACGTGCAAGCAAATGTTTACACGGGATCTCGGTGTTTTCGTCCCATCCGAACAACTACTGACATGGTGGAAAATCCCGATGAAACGAACCTCCAGGTTAGTGAATCAATGTCTTACTGACCGACTCGCCGTGGCTCCAATTTGTATACAAGATCTTATCTGTTTAGACTTATAAGAAATACTACACCTGAGTAGCGGTTATTACGTCAACGAACAATATGAAATAGTATCAAAAATGTTAACACAATTACATATGGAAAGGAATAATAACTTACACAAAACCACTGGTAAAATTAAAGTATATATCTGCAGTACTTGCTGAAGTATAATGTTCACTTCAGCAAATAAATAGTCTACGCGTACGTGTCTCTTTGTCTATGGTTAGCGTTATTAAACTCCACACGACCTTGAACTTTCTAGTTTGCCTTCATTCATAATCGTCAAATTTATCAACATTGAACATATCACATGCATCCAAGCTCAAGTCAAACATATAATGGTTTGTTGTCAGTGTGGCTTTATTAGCAACGCTTGCTAAGTGAGAGATTTATGCTCAAATCTACACCACCGTCAATCAGACAATATAATTGTTAAAACAACTCACCATTGTTAGACACAGGACAAGCCTTGGATGACGTCACTCATAACGGTTGAATCATTAATAATGGGAATAACTTTACCCTTGGCCTTGACCTCAAATACGATGTTATATTTAAACTACCCAAACAACTGAAACCCATCTTACGCTTTTCTTCATGTACTCTAAACTGTTTACTCTGTTTTGTTGTAAAATAAACGAATTCAATCGGTAAAGTGACCTACGAAACAATCAACTTTATTTATACGGAGCATATGTAACTCATGTAAATACAGGACGTAGTTATCTAGCTAGGTGCTCGATATTAACATCACAATCAGAATTCAAATGTAGCAATAAATCTATTAGAGCTGGGCGGAATGGTGGTTTTTAGTCGGAACATTGTACATTAATTACATGTCCCGTCTCAACTACAGGTGTGGATATCAAATATGATATACTGTATATTGACACACATCCCCCCTCTCTCTCTTTCTCTCCCTCTCCCCCTCTATCTCTCAAATAATATAAGTAAAATATAAAACAAGATAATATACCATCCCTGCTGAAAAATTGTTCGTCTTGCGTAAACGAACAGCGGAAGACAGAGATCTTTTGAAAAATCCTGTTTTCTCGTGAAGATTGTTCTTCCGCAATGATCCAATATTACTAGTGATATAACAATAACACGTATAATACACAGCTGTATATCTATATTATTTGTATATAATCATTTTGAAAAAAACTAAACCCCCAACAAATAGCTGCATATAAATAGCTATAAAATGTATTATATTGTTGTCCATTGCATATTGCAAATTTTACATATTACATGTATTATTTATATTTTGTATAAGTGTATAATATTGTAATAATATTTGTAAATAAACATATTTAAAAAAAAAAAAGTAAGTGGACGTAAAAAACTCTAGAAACGAACGAACGAACGTTCGGGCTAACATTCACTGTTCATATTTCATTATCATTTGTCAAAATATCCGATACGTGTATAGTTTGCGATTCTTTAGTTCGACCAAGGCAGGAGGCTGTATTGTGTGACGGGTGTGAAAGATGACAGCATAGAACCTGTAATACTGGTATGTACATTTAATTGCTTACAAATCTAGACAATGTAATCGCCGTTGAAGACATTAGATTATTAAATGTGCATATGTAAATATTATCCTTGTACATGATTATTAATCCTTACCTGTACCATATGTCACGGGCATATTAAAAATAAAAAGTTATCTTATGTAAGGAAGGAGGACATTTTTTAATTATGTATAGATTCACCTATAAATTATTTGCTTCTTTGTATTGTTATTTTTTAATAAAAAATATTTATTTAATTTAAAATCTGTATTTTATTTCTTAAGTGAATAATTGGATCGAGAAGCGATCCTTTGGGTTGGCCCGAGAGGCAACATAAATATTGGTCCGAGTGGTCTTCCAACATGAATTAATTGGTCCGAGTGGTCTTCCAACATAAATTAATTGGTCCGAGAGGCAACATAAATATTGGTCCGAGTGGTCTTCCAACATAAATCCTTTGGGTTGGCCCGAGAGGCAAAATAAATATTGGTCCGAGTGGTCTTCCAACATAAATCAATTGGTCCGAGAGGCAACATAAATATTGGTCCGAGTGGTCTTCCAACATAAATTGATTGGTCCGAGAGGCAACATAAATATTGGTCCGAGTGGTCTTCCAACATAAATTGATTGGTCCGAGTGGTCTTTTAGGTTGGTCTGAGTGGTCTCCGTTTTGGTCCGAGTGGTCTTTTTTTTGGTCCGACTGGTCTTGGTCCGAGTGGTCTTTGGTCCGAGTGGTCCGGGTACCAGTTCAAATAATCAAGGGATCATAACCAATACCTTTCTGTCGGTTAAAGCGATCAAACTGCTGTCCATCTGGTTATGAGCATTTTTTACATACCCCCCCCCCCCTCGAACTTTTGCATTCGTAAATAGATGACGGCCCTCACCAGTTAAATCCGGTCCTGGTCCCGACGATACGTCTGTCATGGGTAGTTCGTCATACGAGCATTCGATTTTCTAAGTTTCGGTTCTGTTAACGCCTTTGTTCGTTTGATAAACTAAACTTATTCTGTTTGAATTGTATCAGGAAATCGCGTACGTCATTTCGACCTGAACGGAAAATTCGTATTGATCGTTTATCAGGCTTCTACGAAGGACAATAACTGGGGATGATGACCCAACTAGTGAATTCACCGCCTGAAGAATTTTCATTTATTGCAAAGTGGGCGTATGAAATCGATGGAGCATTATCCACCTTGTTTTCTTGACTTGTAAATGATCTGTTCGTTAGTTGGGCACCCATCTTTGTTGGAATTACCAACACAAAATCGACCATGTATAAACCCTGTGTACCCAATGTTATAAGTGTACATAGTCTTAAATAAATTGTAACCGTGATTTCCCAT